TGTTCGAGGGGGGTAAAAGGATGGGAAAAAAGCACGCTATCGGACTCGACTACGCCACTGGTCACGGAGAGAACGCCGAAAGAGGGAAAGAGAGTGGAGAGAGGGCGGCTAACAATGGCCGCCAACCAAAACATCCGATAAATCTAACCGGCCTGGACCTCAAGCCCCGAGGGGTTTTAAACTCTCTCACCCCGGAACACCGCCGACGCGGGCGCAACCCTTACATTACGCTACACTCGCTCCCGGAACAGGGAGCCATGCCGTGTGCCATTGCAGCGAGGGTGGCGAAGGAGGAGAGGGTCAGAGCCTAGAGCGCACCGGTTACGTGCAACCTGGGGTAGGGTGAGAGGTGGCCGAGGGGGTTGATATGCGACCCACGAAAAACCAAACAGAGAGAATTCCATCCCGGCTCGCCCCTCTTCGCCCTGGACGTACCTCCCCAGAGTCCCTTATACCTCTCGACTAACCCCCACACCCCGTTTCGGGACCGTAACGAGATCTCCCATGAGTGAGCGGTCAAGTAGCATTTCGACGGAATTTCAACGAATTCGTTGGACGCGACCGCGTCGTAATTTATCCCCGCCTCGCACCCCAATTCTCCCTGTATCTCTCTCTCTCTCTCTCTCTCTCTTTCTCTTTCGAACACTGAAATTCCATCGTGCGAAAAAGCGGAACGGGTCGAACCGGCCGTTTCTTTCACGGTCGTATTTATTTAAAACCGAGGGAAGTTTAATACGTCGTTTGATTTTCTCGACGACGCACGCGACCCAGTTCGAGCAACGCGACGCAATAAACACGTCTCTCCTTCGAACAGGGGAGGAGAAGGAAAAAAAACAATATATAGAGAGAGGATGCGCGGTACCGATAACCCCGCGTCTCCCGTCGAGATCTCGACTAATCTATTTCCTCGAGAGGACGATCTTCGGCCGTGCCTCTATCGGACAGTCTCTATCCCCTGTCGAGATAAACAAAGTAAACGGGATTGACGTCAAGATTCTTGTTGCCGTTTAACACGACCGGGAAAAATCTCACAAGCGTACGGAGCAGGGGGAAATTAGAACGAGGTCGCCAAACATGTTCGCTGCTGTTTCGGCGTGCTAATATCTTACTTGGCTCCGGACGCGCCTTGAGAAAATAGTTTCATTTAAAAATATAAGATGTATTGACAAACTGAAAAGACTCAGTGAAAAGTCGAACAGAACTTGCCAGTGAATAAACTGAACTGTATATACGTAAGGCGAATCAATAGAAAACTAAAAATAATTTGTTCTACGCTCACAATTTAATGTATCACGTATATCAATTAGATCTTGATAAATCAAAAATCATTTACTCAGCACAAAAATCGATAAACATTGAATTATTTCTGGTATTTGGTGTGCACGCACAAAGTTGAAAGAAACAACTGACTTGAGGAAATACAAGCCTAA